TCTCAGGACTGCTGGCTCAAAACTGTTGGCAGTCTTTCAGAATCAGCATTGACACACTTTTAGGAAGTTTGAGCTGTTCTAGAGTTTGAGATCTTAGTTGTAAGCGTTGGCTCAAAGATTAAGTGAACAATCTCAACACCCAAATGCTAGACCCAACTCCCAAACATTGTTTCTTGGCATCAAAACGCCCAAGTTGACAATTCTAGAGGTTTTAGTAGATAATTTTGTGCTTAGATGCTTAATTAAGTAACAAACTACTTATTAGTTCTAAGTACACTTTTATTTATTCTTTAAATGAAATGTGTATTTTTTTTTTTTTGTTTATTTATTTGTGATGAGCATTTGATTTCGCCTTCTTAAATTTTTGTACTTTATTTTTAATTAATATATTATGCATTTGAGGTCCATGGGGCCTAAATGGCTAATACTAAACCATAGTTTATAAAACCAAAACTCGCATGAACAGAAATAATATTTCTTTAAAAATTGCACGCCGGTAACAAGCGAGTGGATAAGAACAAATTTCCATTCTACAAGCCAACAGCAGCTCGGCACGTGCGGGAGGGTTAGCCGAATATGTGCGACAGTGCGAGCTCGACTTCAATCCATTTTCGGCAAATAATATTATTATTTGTGTTCCCTTTGCTTATATTTTGAACACAAAAAAAATTATTTGTATTCGACTTATTTATTTAAAGAGTTGAATACAAACTTTTCACGAACAAAAAACTGTTTCAACAACTCTAGCTATGCATCAGTAGGATGTTAAGGATAGGAACGATATTTAAATATTATTATTTACATTAAAACATTAATTAAATATAATTTTATATAATTTTATTCTATTTTTTATTAATAATTTTAATTAATTAAAAATCTTTATATTATTATAGTCTAAAAATATTAATATTCGACTCGTTTATATATCCAATGCAAAAAAAATAAAATGTTTATGTTCGTCTTGTTCGTTTAACGAACGAATAAAAAACGAGCTTCTTAACGAGCCGGAGACAAACTATTAGCGAACAACTAGCCGTTTCAACAGCCTAGGCAACTCTGATTTTTCTTACATTTATGCCACTGAAATATTTCATTATTTTCTTTGGGCAATTAAAGACAGACCACATGAAACTTATTATTTTCAAATTCTCACTCAAATATCGTTGGGCAATTAAAGACAGACCACATGAAACTTATTAATTTCCAAATTCTCACTCAAATATCGAAATCATGATAAAACCCCAATTCACATTTTTCATTTCAATCAAATTCTCAATAATTTTATCGTGGCACGCATAAATACATTTACTCGATAGTTAAAAAGAATTACCCGTGCACTTAATTTATAAATATCAATATTTTGGATGATCTATGTGTAATTATCTCTATTTTTTATGTGTAATGAAAGTTTTGAGTGTCATATATACAAAAATTAAAATTTAGATTTTAGATATGTAATACACGAGCGATTATTACGTGCGGAGAGTGCACGCAGAGGTGCATGCGCTCTCCGATCATAACCGAGCATCGCGGCTGTATGACAGTGACTCCGCACGCAATAATTAGACGAATACACAAGAATTAAGTGGTATGTACGTAAATTCTATCAACGAACTTAAACAACATAATATTTAAAAATGTCGAGCGGCTTAGATGAAAAAAACCGACAAGTTTGGCGCCGACTGAGGAATCGGTCAGGGTGACCGCGGGCTGGTTGCCGCAGCCCGGCCACGCGAGCTCTGAGCTGGCAAACCGTAGATAAGGCTGCCAGGAACTTTCGGGCTTCCATTTTACGTTATTTACGAAGGCGCCACTGGGCGCTAGATTATGATAGCATTGGTTTACTGTCCATTAAAAAGACGTTAAGACCAAATAAAATTTAATTTATTTGATTAAATTTTAATTTAAATCCTCATCCTCCATTATAGCAATCATCAACTTTAAAGAACTCCTGAACCCTCCATTGACAATTTCTTCTTCTTTTTTTCCTTTTCATGTAAAACCTTAATTCATGTATCTAATACAAGTTTTGAAATCAACATATGTTTAATTAGTGTAAATAAAAAAATTTTCACCAATTTTTCTTTTTATCTACTCAAAGAATAATTAATGGCTTCATTGATAAGGCTATAATTAATAATAATTTAATTTTAAAATAAAGAGAATATGTGATATATTCTGAAGGCCCAAATTCCAGCAAGCAAGCTGGTTGCTTCGAGGAGATAAGCCCAATGAAGCCAAAATTGGCTCGATCTGAGTTTGATCAAACAGTTTAACCATAATTAGAGGCTTTGGATGAGAAATTGAATGTTCAAATGAATTTCAAATGTGACAAGTTTATAGTCAAATCAAACGTTTCGTCGAGCCAAATCCTACGAACCCTATATCACAAACGAAAAGCTACTAGTATTCATGAAACCAATCAACTGAAGATAATTGGCAGATCGACAACTGGACAACCACAGGGCTATGAATCGACCAAAGGTAAGTCGATTAAAGAGCCACCCGGGTTGACCAGAAACAAACATCCACTCTAACGAACGATCAAAGGTCAACACCCTAAAACTCCTAAAAAGTATCAATGTGAGGCTCTCTCAACATTAATTCGGGTAATAGAACCCCATCTATATCACCATCACTTTGAACAACATACTTGAAATATGTAAAACGTCAACACCTTTTAATGATTTGATCGCTGAAAGTTTCAACTCTACCACTAGAGCTGCTATTACCAAAATTATATTCCATGTATTCGGTTTTAGATATATTCAAACGAAGGCCTTTGGAGTCTAATTTAGACCTCCATAATTCAAGTTTTTTTCTTGACTCTTTTATTAGTTTTATTCATACGAAGGATATCATCAGCAAAAAGCATATTCTAAGTAAGAGCATTTATAACTAAAGCGAAAGAGATATGGACTTAAAGTTGTTCTTTGAAGTAGTCCAACTAAAATAGGAAAATACTTGGTCAATCTTCTTTCTGTTTGAACACAGGTAATGGCTTTAGATATCTATCTTTAATGACTTGAAACAAACAATTCTTTTCTAGAACCCTCGAAATGACCTCTCTTAGAATCTTATCATAAGCTTTTTCAAATTCAATAAAAATCATATGTAGATCATGCTTATTTTCTCTATACTTCTCCATCAAAACTCTCAATAAATGCATAGCTTCCATAGCAGACCTACTCGACATAAATCAAAAGTGATTATGAAAAATCTTTCAATCACATCTTAACCTATGTTCAATTACCCTTTCCCATAATTTTCAAGTCATTTCTCTATAATTTGTACACTCATGTGCGTCCCGTTTTTTCTTAAAAGTGGGGACCAAAATACTCTTGCTCTACTCTTTAAGCAATTTTTTTAGTTTTTTTAAATAATATTAAAAAGTTTAATGAGTCAAAAAGTTCTAAAATCTCTTAAATGTTTCCATAATTTCATTGGGATATCATTAGGACCTACTGATTTTCCACCCTTAACTCTCTTTAAAGCCACCTCAA